TGGCGAATTACTTCAAGTAACAAGTTAATTCGCCAAGGCTGAACATTAATTCCAATTCCTTTTGTTTTATTAAACAGATAATTGTATAATGAAGAAAAAAATGGATGATATTGTATATAAATAAGCTCGCGACTATTCAAGGAAATGTGTAATGGGCCTATAATTAGAATAAAAGATAAAATACTTGAAGGTATGTTAAAATTGTGATCATATTTTAAAAATTTTGAAATCGCAGTTCTTATGAAAATTTGACCAGGCCAATCTGCAACGAGAGAAATAATATAACCCGAATCAAAGTATTTTTTCATTGCATTCACATTTTGAATAATTTCAAGACTTTCCAAATACTAGTAACTGAATACAAATTATTTTTTACAAGGTTGACAAGCACAATATCAATTAATGATCGATTATTGATCCTCTTCTTAAGGTGGAGATCATAACTGTGCACTGTCAATGCTTCCATAGTTTCATCTTCGGTATTACTTACCTGATTTTTCCATAGCTCATTGAAGAACATTCCTAACGATATTATGAACTGATTTTCTAATTCTATTTTTATAAGATCCGCATCCACAAGCTTTGGATTGTGAATGCTTCCATAATCACAATTTATAGGAATTGGCAACGCATTTCTTATTGGATTTAATAGAATTGTTGCCATATTTACCACCGCTGATGTTTTATCATCTTTTGGAACCCTATTAGTATATATATTGTGATAATCGTCCACATTTAAAATCATGGCACTTTTGTGAAAAGTATTTAAATCATCATTAATTAAGGCTAGGTGGTCCTTTAAAATTTCATTTTTCTTACGCCAAACTGTTTGAGATGTTGATGTAATGCCAAGTTCCGCCAGTATATTGATAGTTGCATCTGTTGTACCTGTAGAATCAAGATAAAGTGCTAAATCACGTTTTAAATTTATAATAAATTTGTTATGTAAACCACAAAGTAAATAACAAACAAAAAGTAATTGGGACATTATCTTGGGACATGACTCGGGCTTTTTTTTCAATAGATTGGTCGAAGATACAAGTTCATCAAAAAAAGCTGTTAGATGTACATTCTCTGCCTCCATGTAAGCACGAAATTCTCCAAATTTTTGAAATGCAGACAATTTCTGTATCACTTCACGTTTATATAAAATCTTAGTCATGATTTCTATTGCTTTTGAAAAAGACATCTCCCCAGATTCCACTAAATCAGCACTAAATCGAACACTATAAGTTGCCTTTGCATGCTCTTTCATCACAACTGAAGGGTGAACAATGATTCCATTATAACACCGTTGACAAACTATATCATCGACTTTCAAATATGCTGGTAAGATTTGATTGTCTTGAGCACTTCCCAAGATCTAGTCTGTAACCTTTCTTATATGTTGTCCAGGAGCTTTAGCACACACACTAATTATGCATTGCTAATTCTCTATTACTGTAAGTTGCTTCTAAGTAAAGTATACTTTGTTGTGTGGATCTTTTTGGATTATTTTGCAGGAAGCTTGTTG